TCTTCCTGCACCAGCTCTCCAGGTGTTCCACCTCCTGCCTGAAGCTGGACTCATCGTTTTTTTTTTTTTTTTTTTTATGCATCCAACCACCGCTGTATAGTCTGCAAATTTTACAATACGACAGCCTGGATGGGTAGGTGCACAGTCATATGTGAGCAGAGTGAACAGGAGTGGGCTCAACACACAGCCTTGAGGGGAGCCAGTGCTGAGGGTCATGGTGGATGAAAAGAAGTTGTGGATCATCACAGACTGTGGTTTGTTTGTCAAAAAGTCCAGGACCCAGTTGCATAGGGAGGGACCCAGTCCTAGTGGGAGCAGCCCTTCCATCAGGGCCTGGGGGATCATGGTGCCGAAGGCAGATGCAAAGTCCACAAAGAGCATACGCATGTAGGAGTTTCTCTGCTCCAGGTGGGTGAGAGCAGTGCAAACCACAGAGGAGATGGTGTCCTCTGTTGATCGATATGCTGCTAATAAAAAAAATAAAAAATAAACCAACACTGGGGTGAAGGAGTGCATATATTAGGTTTTATTTAGTTTATTCAACAACATTGTATGCATGACAAGTAAAAGGTATGCATTTAGTAAAAACACAAAAGGTATGAGCCAAGAAGACCTGATTTATGCAGTCTGGTTGAATAACATAACACAAAGTTTGGATTCTATCAAAAACAAAAATACATTTTATTTTACACATACTTGAGACAAGCTGCATAACTTTTGTTCAACAAAACCACTTTAAAAAATATTCAACAGCTAATAAATATGAAGAAACAAAAATCCAGATGAGAATTATTAATCTGCATTATGAAAGAACAAAGCCTATTTACATTGCTGAAACAGATAAGGAAAAACAACATACATCCTGTGGAATTAATTTGTTCATGTGATAAAATCTGTTTTTTTGCAACAAAATATGTATCCAGTGGAAAGTATCCTGACATTGGGATGCACATACAACTAATTCCAGATCTGGTTCTTTGCTTGATAAGGAAGATACATTTGGCACTTTGCTTCAAGGGAAGCAGACTATTTACAAACAGCTACTGAAGCTAGCAGAATAGATTTCTAGAGTATTTTTGATTAATTCAAATATTGTCATTATTGCTATGATTCATCTAAAAAAATAATTTTTATCAATAAAAAGAAAAAACACTTTTCATACTTTCGTAAACATATTGCTCATTATTTTTTATCAACATTATATATGTATAAAATGTGTGTGTGTGTGTGTGTGTGGGGGGGGGGTTATATCTGTATAATAGGACCACCAGAAATGCCTTCCTGCCCTTTGTGAACTATAGTGAAAATGTTAGCTGCATAGCTAAAAACTGTGTGTTCAACTGTAAAAAGACCAACATATACATATATATAGCCAGCAGGAATTTGTACCAAGTTCTCAAGTGCACAATCAGTCTGAAACTTTGCAAATTAAAGTGGTACATGTCATGCAGAGATGACCAGAGTAACATTTTATTGGCTCTCAGAAAAAAAAAAAAGAATGATCATCTTGGACAAAACGGCTTTCTATGTCTCAAAAAGCTTCATTTCTAAACCATATCTAAATAAACACATTCATTTGGGAGTTTAAATACATGTACATACAAATCACAAATTTAATAGCATGCACACACACACATGTGCGTGCGCGTACACACCCACACACAATTTTGGGACCAAAAAAAACAGTGTAGCTGTACCCACCTAGAGGGAATATCTGCAGCAATATTAAAAGTTGAAGAATTTACAGTGGAATATTTTATAATTCCAACTTCCCCTCCGTCTGTGCTCACATCCTCCTGCAGCAGGGCATCATAAACATGGAGATGCTGTAAACAATAATGCACCGTGCTGGATTCTCCAAAAAAGAAAAGAAAGAAACTGAATCCTCTGTTTGGAAACTTTTCCAGCTCAGATCATTTCAGAGATGTCACCAACAGCTCTTAACTTCAGTTATTGTTGTTTTTTTCTCCACCCTTTAAATTGTGTGACAACCTCCCTTTCCATTCTGCAGCACTCTCCAACAAGCTGTGGCATCTCAGGAGTTCTCCTCCGGAGCTCTGCGGAAACTTAGGCGTTTGAAGGAATCCCTGAGAGAGGCAGAGGATGGAGAGTAAGAGAAAGAAAATGATAGAAACACAACGAAAGGAATGATGATGAAGAGGAGGAGGATCAAGTAATGAATCATTCGTGTCAGATTAAAGTACAGATATGGGCTTAGTTTGTGTGTGAAGGGCAGAAACGAGGACTTTTTGTAAGAATCTTTGTTCTTCAAAAGGACACATTTATGTTGTTTTTTTCCTTAAGGGAGCAATAACATGACAAGTCATCATCAACTCAAATAAACTTTTATTCCTTTTCTTTTATTCCGTCTGCACGCATTTGCTGCATTCACTCTGAACTTTATCTGTGGGGACTGATTTTCTTTCAGATGGTCTCGCCATCATGGTGCTCTCCATCTTGCGGGTCAAATGTTTGGACAAACATGTCCCATCATCATGAACAGGACGGAACAGATACAGATAATGGGCAGATACTGAAAATGTTCATTGCAGTTTAATGTATCAAGAATTTATAAATTATTTTTATGTTATTGACCAGAAATATTAAAGTTGGTGTTAAATGTCCTTTTCCAGGATGTATTCAAGTCAGGACAGTCAGTCATAAAACAGACCTTATTACGACTGTTGTTACTAATTTATGTGCAGTTTTGTGACCCAAAAGATGTTAGGTAAGTTCAATGATCAGTAAAACCAAAAAACAATGACAGGTTTTTCCTCATGCTAAAACAGCAGCAGTTGCTTCTCTTTGGTGGCGGCGTTTACCTGTTCTCCAGCCGAGGCCTGATGATGGGTTTGTAGAGCTCAGGAATCTTCCTCTCCAACATCGGCCTCAGGCTCTCTCTCAAGCGGCTGTAGTTCTTCTTTAGCTCCTGCTGGTACTCTTTCTGGTCTGACGTGATCAAGTGCTTGTTCTTCTCAACTGCTTCACCACATCTACATGATATGAGGTCAGAGCAGAGTGGCAGCATTTACAAAAAAGTGATTTCTTTACATGAAATAAAAAAATTAAAAAAAATCACTCCATATCCTTTTGGACGCAAAAACCTTACAGTTGCGCAAGATTTCTATGGTAATTATGTGCAGCCAACATATTCACAATTGTCTCTCCATCGCCAGGAAGAGATAAAAGTGTAGCATGATTTTGCACACCAATTTGCAAATTTATGTCCAGTTGTTTTAGACTGTAGGGAATTTCCATGTACTTAGTGGATTTTTCCAAATATTATCCATACATCAATCAATTTTCTTTACTCACTTTTTCCTTTCCGAGTCGCATGGGAGCTGGTGCCTATCTCCAGCATTAACTATGTGAGAGGCAGGGGACACCCTGGACAGGTCTCCAGTCCATCACAGGGATGCATAGAGACAAGTGGGACAAACAACCATTCACTCTCACTCACACCAAGGGACAATTTAGTTACCATTTTACCTAACATGAATGTTTTTGGTCTGTGGGAGGAAAATGGAGTATCTGCAGGAAATGAATGTGTGCACGAGGAGAACCTTCTCACCAACAGAGAACAGCTCTAACCACTGCACCACGGTGCTGCCTTCCACATATCAAAGTAAAACAAATAAAATTTCTTATTTCCTTTACAAAAAGGATTGGTCTTTTTTTATTGTGCATACAAGAAAACCTTGAAGGACCTGAGCTGAGTTAAGTAGAGGGCCACTTCTCACAGCACTCTATCACAACACGCATAATGACCAACAAAGAACTTTCTGCAGGAAATCAAAGAGAAGGCACTGATTGCAAACACATGTCTGAGTTTATTCCCCAGCTTTTAATGAAGGTAATATAGAAACGGCACTGTTTTGTAACCGTATATCTTAAAATTCACAGGGGAGTAAGCAGAAATGACAGTCACAAAGCAACTACAAAAATTGAACAGGCTTTTAGCTAGGTACTTCTTTCTATGAGAATTTACAGTACTTGTGTTTTCTTTTCTTTTCTTTTTGCAAATCAACAGACTTTTTCAGCAAAAATATGCACATTTTGCAACATGATTCAAGTATATTTTTAGATTACTTTAAAAGTATCCAACAATTCTGGATGTATACAAGTTAAATTCAGATTGAGGAGGGGGGAATAACAGAGAAAAGTATCAAACGTGAATTCAATAGCTCTGAAATCAGAGCGACTGGTCTCATTTACAAGAGAGCACAGGTCTCTAAATAATTTAAAATAATTTATTTTAAATAGAAATGTCATGCCGATCATGCGGCTCATCTGTCAATCAGCCAATTGTGTGTCATGTCCACTCTTCTTTTGAAAAACCGCGGTACAGCGAGTCTGCGATAAACAAACCGCGAAGTAGCGAGGGACTACTATACAATGAGATTTTCTTTCCTTGCTAACAATTTAGTTTTAAAAACTTACATTTTGTTTTCAAGATATCTGTAATTGGAGTTCAGTTTATCACCTCTTTTGCTTCACTAAACATGCCCAACTAATCAAAACCATTTTATCACTTCAGTAACTGTTCATGTGATGAAAGATAATGGTTATATTTATAAAGCGCAAGTCTGTTTTAATATTAAAATAACATTTTAACCAGCTATAAAATATAAGTTGGATTGGCAATTTCAATGAATTTTCTAACAAAACCACAGCTGATGATTGGCATAATAACATAATGTTGTCTAGATTTAAGCTAAAAACAGCAACAACAACAACAAAAACTCTTGACAATTCAGTAAATATTTGCTGCCAAGCTTGTAGCAATCCAGACAGCTGAAATGTGACATGTAGTTTAGAAAATGGAAACGACATGCCTAGGGGATGAGAATGCACACAATGTCTGCACAAAATCACTGCAGACTTAGGCACAGTGGCACGAGAAGGAAGGTTTGAATCCTGCTCTGAATACTCAAAATAGAATGAAATCCTTCTTGGCATAAAGTTATGTTCAATTCAAATAACAGAGGAGTGATAACAAATGGATTTAGAAAAAATGCAGGTTTAAGATCTGAAGGTGAACCGTGACAACTTCAGTTTCCAATTTTATTACATTTAACCAACTTGTTTTGTGTTTATCTTGTCTGTTTCTGATGTTTTATTATTTTTTCAATAACCGAGACCACACCGAGAATCTAGGCAAGACGTTTAATCCTCAAAGTCAGGTCTCACACAGATGCCGAATCATCTACAAAAAAATAAATCTCTGAAGGTTTATTCTGTGTTTCCACCTGCTGAGCCTGTGCCATGGTAACAAAGAAAAACTCACATTGAAATTCATAAATTCAGCTGGTGAGCTCAAGGCTTCCAGCTTAACATGAAAATATTTACAAGATTTTTATTGTGCCTTAGTTTTTAATTTAATTTAATTATTTATTTTTATTTTTTTTGCTCGACCTTGTTGCAGTGAGAATCTCCAGGTGGTGATCCTTTGATCGTATCTTACCTCATTATAAACTCTTTGAAACACAAGCGCAGTTTATTGTGGTGGCGGAAGAGCTTCGGGTCCGCTGGGATCTCATTCAGGAAGACCTGGGCCACCTCCAACGGGCCCTACGACAGGAGCGAACAAGGACAAACACAACGGGCCAGAGTCAGACTAGAGGAAGAAAGAGAAAGCAAAAGCACTACAGAGGAAGGAAAGAGAGGAAGTATTTGGAAGTGTGAGAACAAAAGAAGGGATGACAATGCTCCTCATTTAGAAAAGGGAGGAAAGGGTTTGTAAACTGAAAGTCTAACGCAGCTAAGAAACGAAATGTATAACTAAAACATGAGGAAGGGGTTGAATAAAGGAGGCATGATTAGCATCCTGCATTGCTAACATGACTGCCAAACATGCATACAGCCACCATTTGGTTGCCATTTACCCAGTACGAAATCTTGTTAGCCCAACTTATATTCATCATAAAACCACAGCACGTTTGCACGATGCTTGCATCACGACAGGCACGGTTAAACAGCGCTGATTAGCATCACAAACGCATCGGGTCTGGGCCTCGGTTCCTGTGAGCTGCCGACCCACACGCAACAAAAAGCGGCGCTGATTACAGTCAAGAGTTATATGTTTACAAAGCTGCTGAGCATTAGCGTTATGTATACAACCGTCAACTCGGAGCGAAGGACCTGTCAGATTAGACGCAGGAAGATAAAGCACGGGACGAGGGCGAGCAGAGACGTTGAAGCTAGCTCCGTCATTACTCTAACATTCACCATGCTGGCAGAACCTGGAAGCTATCAGATCAAAGAGACCTCCGGTTCAGCACGCCATGCAGCGGAGACATGAAAGGAAGAGGGGACCATGAGCTGACGCTTTAACTGAATCAGGAGGAGAGCAAAGGAAGGGTTTGGCTTATAGGCTTTGATGTGTGATCCCTGTCTTGTCTCCCACCTGAACACTAATCACAATGGAAACGGTCCATGCGATAACGCATTTAAAAGTGAATAATCTCGCATACGAGGACAAAACATGTGACACAAGGCCAAAGAGTCATTTTACAAGAACATTTGCTTAAATGTAAAGAGGAAATTTGTTGTGTAACAGGAGAAAGCAGACAGTGGCGCACAAAAAAATGCCGTGCTCATTACCTGGTTAACAGTGGCTCCCACAGAGCCTTGCAGCAGCATCTGTAACATCTTAGCATCTGGTTGTTCTCTGTGTGTGGCCACTGCTAGCTCCCGAGTCTTCTTCTGCATGTCCTCTATGGCCACCTCAATAGGAGTGAGATCAAACTAGAAGCAAAAGAAATCAAACATTTATGCAAGTCTTAAAAATTAAAAAGAAATTTAAAAAAAATTACCCGTCTCATGTTTGGAACTGACCTCCTCTTTCTGGATGACGTTGATGCGAGTCTTGACGTAAGGGAAGGCGTGCATGGTGGTGAGGATGGTCTTTCGCTTGTACTGCTCGTTGAGCTCGCCGCGAGGCCGTCCGCTCTTGGTGAAGGGTGTGGTGTACATGAAGCGCCGCAGGTTGAAGTTCTTCTCAAAGTTCGTCAGGCGGTCTTTCATCTCATAGTCATCAAAGAAGGGCTCCACATAAGTGATCTGGATATATGCCTGGAGAGGAGTCATGCAAAACAATTACAAACCTTATTTTCATTTTACAAAAAAGATCTATAAGAATTATTAGTAGGAAGTTCTATGGTCACCCAACAAATATATTATTTCATCAGTTGAAATTATTAAGATTTTATGATTTGGTTGAATATAGTATTTTACAAGTCATGTATAAAGCTCATAAAAAACATTACCCCTAAATATCCAATTAAAATTTGATAAAAATAGATAGTCAATATAACCTTAAGGGAATGGAAATGTTTAGAAAACCTCCATTTAGAACTAGTCTGAAGGAGCTGCATTGTAATTCAGGGAATAGGATTGTGGAATCGCCTTGATATCACCATAAAAATTTCTAAAACAATGTATATGTTTAAAAAGATGATTAAGGCAAAATTGTTAGGAAAGTATGATACCATGTGAAGGATTTCACTTTGGAGATGTTTAAGCCTAAGTTGTTGTTTGTTTCGTTTTTTTGGGGTTTTTTTTTAAATAAGGGGCAGATATAATAAGATTTTTTTCTTCTTTCTGCACCCTTTTCATTCAGTTTTTTTTTTCTTTTTGATGAATTTGTTTTGTTAATCTTGTTTCTTTTAAATAAATGAAAACATGAATTAAATTAAAAAAAATAAAAAATAAAATCTTGCCAACAGTCAGCAAACTTGAGTGCCTTTTTTCTCCTCTGAACTTCAGCCAAAATAGCAGAAAGTATATTATCCAACTGGACAATTGTGCATTTCTAACCTCTGGACTAATAGCAAGAATACATTTCTGGCTGTTCTGTGTACATTAAAAACAATCAGAACAGATTCTGCCTCCCATTTCTCTAAAAGCCTGATTGATTGTAATTGGCATAGTTTGAAGAAATCTTTGTTTGTGATCATCCTCTTTCTTTTGTAGAGGTTCTTAAAATATATAATGAAACTGCTTCATCATATCTTTTTGTCTTTTTTCACAGGAAACCTAGCATTTCAAATATGTCCATGCATGTCTAACACAAGGACAGCAAAGTTATGGAAGCAAAGTTTCCATAAATGAACCATAACACACCAGATCAATTATGGTCAATGTCTTTTGTTGATATTTATTTTTCATCATGCTTATAACAGTTAATTGTAAGGAAATATATGGTACTGTGCAAAAGTCTTAAGCCATCCATAGTTTCACTAAAGTTGGTTTCTACAGAGCTACGCCTTTTGTATTGTCAGGGGTCTTGGGCTTTAACTCTTTCTTCTTTTTTAGCCCTCTACTCATTCTTTAAGCTCACATTGTGCAACATGCATTTATGTTCAGGTACATAAACTGGACAGAAAACAAAGGAAAAAGCAGTGAAAATACAAAAAAAGGACATATGTATATATATTAAAAAACTTCAAAGTGATTTATTGCTTAAGAAATCTAAAATACAAGAAAGTCTGGATTCAAAGAAGCTAAACGTAAAGAAATCAGTAAGATATAACAATTTTTGCAGCTCTGTACCAGTGCACAAAGTGACATGATATTACAGATACCTTGTTGGGGTTGAGCTGCTTTCTGTCAACTGGTGTCGAGTCCTTTATCATCACCAACGTGTCGTCTTTAAAGCACTGACTGTAGAAGTTCTAAGAGCCAGGAAAATTAGAACATTATCTTGTTATGCTTTACACTATAAACACTACCTGTACATAATACATAAAAATCACATGTACTGATTTTATTGCTGTGTAAGATTACCCATTTCTTACTAAAATGTGAATAAAATATTGAAAGCATAAAACAGTTGATCCACAGGTTTGATAAATACCTGATGCTGACATTGAATGGAATTAATTACCTTTGCAAGCATGTAAATGTTTTTTTTTTCAAAGCTCCTATAAAACTCACTAAAAACAGATGTATAATTGCTAGTCTTGCTCTCTGTCATTATGTTCATTCAAAGGTTTCTCTGTTATTATCAGATTTCATCATTAAGTGGGCACACTGTCTTTCCTTTTTCTTGCACAAAGCAGCATATGTGGCCTTTCATCTGTGCTACCTCCAGCCTGTGCGATATCTCCGGTAAATGCGTGATCCCAGGTTCCTTGTAAATAAATTCCCGCTCATCCAGGTCGCCAAACTTCGCTCCATAAAAACCCACACGGAAATAGGTTCCAAACATCCTCTTATGGCCCTGGAGAGAAACAAGATATTATATCAGACTAAAACAAGTAAAATATTTTTCTAATTACCTTTAATAGGATGTTATGGTATAAACCACATTTCAGGCCAGAAACACAATAGACTTATAAACAAGAAAAAAAGCCCTTCCTTTTCACTACTATCATTATATTCAATGTTTATAAGGTTCGAAGCTCTAAAATGTGTTTTTACATACATTCTACCAAGTTCTAAAAGAAATACTGAACAAAGATCATTAACCTTTATTTTATTTCTTTTTCATTTAACTATGAACAAAAATGAATGAGATGCCTTTTAATTGTTACCTTTTGAATTATGTTATCAAAGGCTCTATGAAGTTTGTCATGCGTAGAAGCCAGTTTTCGAAAATCTCTGCGAGCCTCTAAGACTGGGACGATGATCTTGTAGACCTCGTTCACGGCCTCATAGAGACCACCCTGAGGAGACAGACATCACTGCTGGTCAGCTTGAACAGTAAAAGCTTGACAAAGATTTGTTTGTTACTGTCCTATTAAAGAGATAGCTCAGTTCTTTTGAAACACGGTTCTGAGGAAAGGTTTTACTATTTAGTAATTCTTGTTGATAGATGTACAGTAGAGCTTATATGTGATGGGACTGGTGACCTAACAGGTAGGTGAAGCAGGGCCAAGACCATACATACCACCTTAAAAAAACGGCTCCATTGCTGAAATATGTTATAGCAGATGTGACAATGTTATTTTATAAACTTAAACCTTGCCACAAGTTTCACATTACAGTAGTCCCTCATTTATCACGGGGGATCCGTACCCTGAAGCCCCATGAGAAGTGGAAAACTGCAAGGTAAGTAGTTTATTTTAGTACACACATATATATATATATATATATATATATATATATATATTATTTTTTATTTTTTTTATTTTTTTTTAAAACGCGTTTTAAACATTTCACACACTCTTGCAATATTTTAAACAATATTTTTAAACTAAAGTTTAGAGTGGTCAAGCAGGTGGCTGCTCTTGGCCACGCCCACTTCTCCGCTCTGCATGGAGATCAGCTGTTCAGCTGCAGGAGGAAGCTTATCCTGCAGTGTGGGCTGCTGCAGAAGGTGCTAAATAATTCAAAATAAATAATTTTAAATAAACATTCTATGCCGATCATGCGGCTCATCCATCAATTAGCCAATTGTGTGTCATGTCCACTCTTATTTTGAACAACCGCGATAGAGCGAGTCCACAAAAAAACGAACCGCGAAGTAGCGAGGTACTACTGTACATGTGTATATACATAAGTTTATTTTTAAATCTTTGAGTGAAGTTTTTTTATTTTATTCATTCAACCTTTATTTATACAGGCTAGCTTCACTGAGCTATGGGGACTCATTTACAAGAGGGACCTGTTCCAGACAGAACATATAAAGTACAGACAACAAAACAGTAGACAGTGACAACAATAAACTAGTTGTTGTTTGGTTTTGGCTCTGCTTGGACTCGCTGTTAACTCTTCAATCTGGTCAGAATTAAATTATTTTTCTCCAAAATGGGATTGTTCAAAGAGCTATCTACAACAGGTAAGATATCATTTGTTCATAACCTTTTCACACAACCCAAGATTCAAAGAATCTGAACCCTTTCTTTAAACTCTGTTTTAATTTTACCCAGCTAAAACATTTTTTTTTGCATTAAAGTCCAAAGCTTAATATACAGTGATGCTATAAACATTCATGTAGCTTCATCTTACGTTGCTGAAGAGCTCAGCTGCCTGCTCCAGCAGTCCCACCAGGCCGCTCTCTGTGAAGTAGCGCCCTGAGCACACGCCGTCCTCATCCGGCGACAGGATGTCATCTGACACAGCCGACTCCTCGAGCACGTTAGGGGAAATGTTCTGAGCAGAAAATCGGTCGGCTAATCAATTAGTTAGTCCACTTAATCAAATAATCAATTGCGTGGCTTAAAAGCACATGTCCTACAGCGGCGAGAGGAACCAATTTGACCATCGTCCAATCAATGATCTGCTGACTGCTGCAGGTTGGCGTGTCCTGTACTGAAGCACTACGGTGGTGTCGTCTGTGTGGGAGACAGCTCAATAACGACCTCACCATTTTTCTAACTGCTTGTTTTTCATTTGTTTTTCATTTGAGGAAATTGACTGGTGATTTGTTCTTAAAGGCGCAGGTTTGGCTTGGTTTATCAACACTTTAATCTTCAAAAGCATCATGTTAGGCAAAGATGTCAGGGGACCAGATTTATAAAGTGATTTTGGTGAATTTCTTTCACTGTTGGCACACGCTATTAAATCTACAGGCATTCACTCCATAAGGAGATTTGTAGTATAATAGTTTGCAGAATAAATTATTATTATTTTTTTACTTTTCTGTATTTTTTCGTAATCCATCTACTTCTGAAAACTTTGCGTTTTTAGGTCATTCTTCTATCAAAATGGATGACTCGATCAGGAATGGTGTGCTATGACTTTTGGTATATTTATTATAACGTTCATAATTTTTAAATGTTTAAATTTACATATACCCATTGAACTACACTGATATCTCTTGAGTTCCTTCAAAAACATTGTTGTATGAAATCTACTTTTGTGTACTTGTTCTGTTTTGGTTTTTCTATTCTCTTTTAAGCTTTCTGATTTTTAGTTCTTAGCTGCTCTATTGTTTATTTTAACCTTTAGCCATGGTTTTGCTGATTTTAGCTTCTGTTCTGCTTGTTTAAAACTAACAATTCAATTCATGTTTACAGAAAATGAAGTTTTAGTTTTGATTTAATACACTCGATAAAAGGAAAGTTTTACTCCACTGAACTACAAGCTATAACAAATATTCTGTGATTGTTTATGCTGTGCATTGCCTAATTTTATTTATTAATTTATTGCATGAGGATGCAGTGTTTCTTAATGTACCTGGAAGGTGACGCTCCCGACTGGAAGGTACTTGTGATCCTCCAACATGCTGAGGTACTCGGCCACCAGGGCGGCAGCATGAACCAGGCACATAGCGGACTCAGCGTAACACTTCCTGTTGTTGTGCTTCTCTGCCATGTTCTGCAGCCATGTCAGACGGAGGTCAGGAGACGTCTGGTAGCCCTTTGCTATCCTGGAGGGAAAGGAGGGGGGTTATTTTGTTTCCTCTTTCCTTTTTCCTTTATTTAATGATCTTTAAGTCTAATTAAGATGGAAATCTTCCTTGAGAACAACTTGGCTGAGAAAACTGTTAGAGTGCACAAAAAGGTGCACATGTAGTTGAAGAGGGAAATGCTTGCAAATGAAAATATAAATATAATACACACAGTGCATTAAACTTACTACATTTACAGTATGTGATTTTTTTTATGCAAAGCTATTGAAATAAATCATCCATCCATCCATCCATCTTCTTAACATTCTAAATGCATGTCAGTCTAATGCATTTGAAATGTGACAAAAAAATAATTAAATGTGGGTGGCACAGTTGGTAGAGCTGCCGCCTCTCAGCGAGAAGGTTGCCGGATCGAATCCCGGCCAGAGGCCTTTCTGGGTGTTGTTTGCATGTTCCCTCCGTGCATGTGTGTACTGAATAGTTTTCATTCGATACAATTTCTAGCTTAACAAGTGATCCTTGACCTGCCATTGTGCATCTGATCCTAACAAACCCAGCCCATTGAAGCAGATGGACACTTGTCCTGAGCCTGGTTCTGCTAAAGGTTTCTTCCTCATGAGGGAGTTTTTCCTTTCTACTGTCCCCTTCATGCTTGCGCAAGAGGGTAGTTATGTGATGGAGTTAAATTCAAAGCAGTCTGCTCCTCAGATAAATAATATTAAATTATTATTTTTATACATTAATGTTTTTGTTCAGTGCCCTGAGATGACTTCTGTTGTGACTTGGCGCTATATAAATAAACTGAATTTAATTTAATTGAAAAAAACTCCAGTTTCCTCCCACAGACCAAAAAACATGCATATTAAGCTGATTAGTAACTAAATTGTCCCTAAGTGTGAGTGAGAGAGTGAATGTTTGTTTGTCTCGTTTGTCTCTGTGTCCCTGTGATGGACTGGAGACCTGTCCAGGGTGTCCCCCGTCCCTCGCATAGTGACTGCTGGATATAGACACCAGTGACCCCTGTGACCCAGTAAGAAGCGGGTAAAGATAATGGATGGATGGATAGACAAATGTGCTGTGCATCAAAAAATAAAATACAGCATAGTTCAAGCCCGTGAGTCATTTATGACGTATATGTCAGCATATGGGCTGCAAATAAATCTCAAAACCTTACATGTACCAGAGGACGAGTGTAGCAGCAGAATAACAACCAAATGTGCATTAGCGACGTTGGCGTGTTCGGTAGAATGGAATTAAATGTTGAGGTAAATGCAAGTAATCAGAGTGAGACACTAACTGGTCAGACAGACACTGACCAGGTGACTAGAGCCAAAACCCAAACAGAAAGTTTCACAAGAAATAATCCATGTACACAATACTGAAGCATACTGAAGAGATGTGCCAAAATCCACACCAGCACATCTTCTCTCTGTGTCTCAGTGTTTCCCCTTCTCTGTCCCTCCCAAACACACACACACACACACACACACATTTGTGTGCTCACTGTTTAGATTTGCATACACACAAAGACAGATCAGAGGACTAAACTGCTACCACATGGTTACCATAGTGAGTGCAGCAAACAGAGGCTAAACAGCCTGGACCACAGAGAAATAAAATCCATCAGTGTATGGTAAGAGAGGAATGAAGGAAACAAAAAGGGTAAATTGAAATAAAATAAAGGAGGGAGCCTTGGACAGAACAAGTGCTCTTTTATGTTTTCACCTGTACATGAGGTCCATGAGCATTTCAGGATCTTCCTGGAACTCTCTCATCTTCACTGTATCTGACAAAATACTGTTGAGGTTTCTTAGAAGCTCATCCACCTGAAAATACAAACATAAAAAACTTTAATTAAAAAAAAATTGTTGTTAGCCTGTGTGACTACGTGTGTGTTCGATCGTAACCTGTGAGGACAGCTGCGTGTTTTGCATCTCAGCATCTTCTTCTGCATAGGCCAAGATGGTGCGCAGGGAGCGCCTTAAATATTCCTCCTGGAAGTCGGACGATTTACCCACCAGGGAGGCCAGAGACATGGTGACCTGCATCTTTATTCTTGAGAAGTTCTGCAAAAAACAGGATGCAAATGAGCAAATGGTTGATTTATTTATAGATTTTTACAATATATTCATATCTTTCCTTTTGATGTTTTTCTTGCAGCCTGCAGGTAAGAGGTGCTATAAATTCAAAGAACTTAACTTGCAACAGCTCATTGGCACTTTTTACAGATGCATACAGTGTACCTGTATTTATTCATTCATTCGTTCGTTCGTTCGTTCGTTCGTTCGTTCGTTCATTCATTCAAAATAAACAAAACAAATTCATTAAAAAGAAAAAAACGTTGAAGGAAAAGGGTGCAGAAAGAAGAAAAAATTATTATAATATTTGCCCCTTATTTAAAAAATATATAAAATAACTACAAACAAAACAACTACTTAGCATTGAACAATCTCCAAAGTGAAAACAAAAAATATTAGGAATCATTCACATGGCACCATCTTGTTTTAGAAATGTTTATGGTGATATTGAGGTAATTCCACAATCCTAATCCCTGAATTACAACGCAGCTCCTTCAGACTAGTTCTAAATGAAGGTTTTACAAACATTTCCATTCCCCTAAGGTTATAATGACTCTCGTTTTTAACAAATTTTAATTGAACATTTGGGGGGTAATATTTTTTATGAGCTTTATACATGACTTGTAAAATACTATATTCAACAAATCATAACATTTTAATAAGTTCAACTGATGAAATAATATATTTGTTGGGTGACCATAGCACTTCCTACTAATAATTCTTATAGCTCTTTTTTGTCAAATAAAAATAGGGTTTATAATTGTTTTGCATGCTTTTCCCCAAACTTCAATACATCTACAATAGATGTAAATATGGAACAAACATTACATTATACAATATATACAAAGCTTTGTCATCCAGAAACTCTTTTACTTTATACAGTAATGCAATTGATTTAGCCATTTTTATTCTTAAGTAATTCACATGAAATTTGTCAGCTTCTCATCAGTAATGACACCCAAAAATTTTTGTGGTAAGGTTAAAATTCTGGTGTTGAAAACAAAATTAAAAATATATGACTAGGAGTTCAGATCTGAGAAATTGTGACAAGTGAAACTGAAGTGGATAAATGAGTCCAAACTTATCAGAAACGATAAGGCTTAGTTTGGGCTAACTCGTGCGCTTGGTGAGCAAAATGTGATTCAAAACGTCCAATCCTACAAAAGAGCTACAGTTCAAGTTGGCAAAAGAGGAAGATGCTGGAACAAAAGCCAATATTTAAATTAAAGGCAAATTGATTTGGTTTTTTCATTTCTTGAAGACTTTTTACGTTTCATCTGAGGAGCTTTCTCAGTTCTGAAAAGAAGAAAAAGAAGTCCGGTTGCTTTAGAGTCAACTTGCTAAACCGACCATGTCCTGAATGAGAGTCTGCACCATCATGTGGAAGGTTGTATCATAAAAATCTGCCGACAGGTCCGACTGTTATCAATGAGTCTGTTCAGATCAGAACCGGACCAAGAAACCACATAACAAGGTGGTCCAGTCTGATAAATAATCTAACCAGCAGAGCGCATCATTTACCTATGCAGGAAATGGCAAAAGGATGCACTTTAGATGCAGCAAGGGAGACAATTTTTTAATCAATAAAGTCTGAAATTAAATAAACCGAGGGAGGACAGTCGAACAGACGAACTGTGGGTAATAAATTCCAATCAGGCAGCATTTAGTGACATTTTTGTCTGTAAGCAAAAATGAATTGGGTGAAGTTTCGCAGCGCTCTTTGAAAAAGACCCATATAAAATAGAATGTATTGAAAAATATCAGCATCAGCTAAAATATAAAATGTACTTATGATTTTGATTTGCCAACTAAATAAAGAAAATAACAACAAATGTGGTGTAATTGTTGTTTTCTATCTTTGTTTTCGTCTCATCTTTTCCTACTTCACCACCACCACCACACACCCACACCCTTTGGTTCTTCTGCAGAAAGAGAACTGTGTAAATGTGCAAGAGAAAATGTGCCCATGTACTTGTGAAGTCCCATCCATCTCCAGCATGACCAGCTAAGCGGGAAATGATCTCCCATTAGCAGAGACATAATCACCCATGGATCATCTCTACGGCCCCATTCTGTTCAACTGAGCATAGAGCCAGGGCCTAACCACCCATCACTGCCCTCTAACAAAGCATGTGCGTGTGTGTGTGCAATAAAAAGCAGACTGAATGATAGCTAAAGTCAACACAAAACCTTTTTTTGCCTCTCCAGAACAGGATGTGTGCGACTCCTCAAAGTGATTTGGTTTTATTGGTGGACACAGATTCTGGTATTGTTTTATTAAAACCAAAGTGTGTGTGTGGGGGGTGGGGGGTGGTGCGTTTGTGTGTGTGTGTGTGTGTGTGTGTGTGTTTGTTTATGTTACTTTGTGAGGCCCATTTTTCAACACATAACTACATTGTGGGGACCAACTGCTGTGGGGACCAAAGCTCGGTCCCCATACGGTTCAAGTGTTGTTGGTGAGTTAGAGGTTAGGTTACAGACTAAGGTGTGAATTGAGGGCTAGATATGTTCTGGTAAAATGTGAGTGTGTGTGTGGGGGGGGGGGGGGGGACAGAGCGAGAGAGACACACACACACACAGAGACAGAGAGAGAAAGACAGAGAGAGAGGGATGTGGGCGGATAAAGAGATGAAAACACAAACAAAAGCAGATAGTAAAGTGTAGAATGAGTCATTCGGCTGCTACGCTAATTCACAACACAGCTCCTTCTGTATACACTCTGTAAACAAACACAGACAAGAAATACTCCTTATAAACTGGATATTCTATATATGTGTGTGTGTGTGTGTGTGTGTGTGTGTGCGTGCACGCACGTGCGTGTGAGTCAGTGTGCTCCACAGGACGAGTGTCTGACTTTCATTACAGCAAACAGATTGTAAACACAGGAAATATTGACTGCAACAGAAGTAATCGAACTGGCGCAGAAAATGAAAGAAGATACTTTATCTTATCCCTCTTGCTCCTTTTAGATCTGTCTTTTCTCTGTCTTGTCTTTTTCATTTCCCTCCATCACCGCTTCACTTCTCCTACAAACACTCCTCTATCTCCATCAGGACTTTCTCCTCTCCAAGCCCCGTTTGAAATTCCCCTCTTCTCCCCTCCCTTGAGGCACAAATACACGTTTACACACACACACACACACACACACGCACACACTCAGGGGTGGCTGTCATTAGTTAAAAAGGGGTACGCACATGGGGAGGCAGACAGTGACATATCTTTCTACTCTCTACTTAGAGACACATCTTTCAGCAGGAACTTTCTGCAGTGCTCTCAAAATAGACATGGAAAAGACATTAAAGCTGAGCAGGAGAGGACAAGCAGAAAAGATAGAATCAGATCTAACTGAGTCCCAGCTTTAGGGTGTCTTCATGAGAACGTGTGTTCATGAGTCATTCTGAATGCTTGTGTGCACTTAAATTAAGTTTAATAAGATGTAAATGCAATTTCTTTTACAAGCTCAGATATCATCTGAAAGCAACTTAATGCTCGACTGAATGAGCTTATCAAAGTGTTCTGCACATGATGCTATGTAGAACACACAAACAAGGATCTTTTTTTTAAATGTTCATACTACCTTTATTTACACAGGTTACTCTCATTGAGATATGAGACTCATTTAAAAGAGACCCGTTTTAAACGAAGGACACAGATCCAACAGTAGACAATCATATAAAAGAATATATAATGAAAAGTAAATAAAATAAATAAAGGAATAAAAGAAATCAGGGTGGGTCCAAAGACTGAGCCTTGTGGTACACCATTGTTGACAGATAACTGTATGTAATGTAAGTGCAATGTGACGATGTGGTTTGCTTACACTGGCATTACTGTAGCTGTATCTCATGATGAGATAGAGGGTGGCGCAGGCCTGGCTCCGGTTCTCATCAACAGGGCTGCTGCAGTACTGAAGCACCTTCTGGCACAGGTCTGCACACTGCTCCGCCTCCTCCTCGAACAACAAGTCTCCGAACTTCACACAGACAATATCCGGACACATATATGCACATAAATTATTCTGGCTTGTATCAGCTGTTTGCCACCCACTCAAATACATAAGAACATTAAATCCAGTCACAGATAGTGTGTGTAAACATCATAACCCACATGCTACCTTCTTGAATTTTCACAAATTAAAACGCACACAAACATATAAATGAAAGCACCTTGACGACCAGCGCTCTCAGTGTGCTGAAGGTGTGAGAGAGGAAAGTAGTGCTCTGGTTGCAGGTGAGAGAGTGGAGTAACACCTTCAACACTCCTCCAACCACGCTGTCTTTACACTCAGCCAAAGGCACCGCCTGTGTGTGAGACAGATGGAAAAGATGCTAATTATAAAATGCAAATAAAAGCACTTGGGAATCACTTGGAAAATGCAGAAACAGACTGTATACAACAAAGAACGAGTTAATAATCAGATAATAATCAGATAATAATAATAATAATAATAATAATAATAATAACAATAATAACAATAACAATAACAATAATAATAAACTTTATTTATATAGCACCAGTGGCAATTTTAGCCTCTTTTTGTGGGCGCTCAAGCACCCCTAAATTTTAACTCAGCATCCCCGAAAAATAAAGAAACCATCATTAAGATTTTGTAAGGAAACTCAGTTCTCAAATCTTAGATTCACCAAAAATATTGATTAAATGTGAAATAAATTATGACACAAACGGGCCAATAATATCTATGACTATTTTTGTATGAGTCGGATCCTCAACGCCACCTGTCAATCAATCCAGTAGGTTCATCAGCAAGTGACCAATTGGCGACCTCCATTTGGCCCAAAGTGAAACGCCCCTTACCTGCAGGAGCTGGGGTGGGGGGGAGGTGTGTTGTGTGAGAGAAGTGGCGCGCTACATCTGTAGCAACTTAGCTAACGCATCTGTATTGTGCACCCCAATACAGTTGCCGGCAGTGGTCAACTGGGGGTGGAAGGATGTGTGAGAGAAGTGGATTGTGCTCTATTCGCACCAGGAGAGCTGTTGGTCAGGCTACTTCTTGTTGCTCTCTAAAATAGTTATCGAATCAAGTATTTACTTACATATGTAAACGCAGATGTTTAACATCCCATTAAAATACACCAGAATGCAGGAAACCATCTACTTTATTCAAAATTTTATGGGGGAGGACCTCCAGACACCCCCACCAGTGTATACCCCCCACATTGCAAATGCTTCTGATGCCAATGGCCCCTGTGTTGTTCAAATCATAGTCAACACTGGGGGCTAAGCACCCCTGAAGTTCAGCTTCTAGAACCGCCCCTGTGTAGCACCTTCCAACAAGGCCTTGCATTGACCAAAGTGCTTTACAAGATAAATAAAAAACGGGGCACAATAAATCAATGCAAATTAAAAACACAGCCACAATAAAAGGAGGTAAAGGAGATAAAAAATAATAAATACTAAAATACTAAAAGTTAAACATAAAAATTCCTTTAAAATAAATAGGTTTTCAATTTTGCTTTGAACAAAACCAGATCAGAGATGACAACTCATACAGAAGAGCGTTCCAGGCTGTTGGGCCTGCAACAGAAAAGGACCGGTCCCCCCCATTGTTTGCACCTTGAGCAAGGCACCTCCAGAAGATATTGACCGGCAGACCGCAATAAGATAAGTCAAGCTGGGAGTGAATCACAGAGTGGACAGTACAATAATTTAACTTTATTGTTATTATTACACCATTGTTTTCCTGTATGTTTGTTGCTATCTAACTAGTGCATAGTTTGTCCTATTTCAGCTATTCTTATATCAAAACGTTCAGCCCAATCAATAGATAAGTGCTGTTACTTTTAGTTTTGGTAGCTCTTATACTTTCAAAATATTCAACTTTATTTAGAAATATTTTACCTATGGAAACACATTGAGATGTATTCTCTTCAACGCCTTTTAAAAAATCTGCTCTTTGAAATCTGCTTCAGTGCACTTGCTCTTTTTTTGTCTTTTTATGCTACTTTTGATTTTTAGCTGACTGTTTGAACGGCCTCAGTTTGGATAATTACAGATTTGTTCTGATTTGACTAATAAGCTAACGGCTAAAACAAACCAAGTCAAACGCAAAATGGATTCAGTTGTTTTAAAACTGTATATATTCTTGAAAAATTCCTCCTGAAACAAAAAAAATCAATCAATCAATTCAAGTCCGTTCAGCAAGTTTAGTTGAGCTGGTTTTGTTTGAAATATGCCAAAAGGAAGGAAAGTATGTCCTAAACAAAAAAAAAAAAAAAAAGATTTCAGGCAATGCAGGAGCAGATTTGTTAAGTGGGATTAAATAAAACTATACCTAATTTTACATTATTCCACATAGGTATACATATTTAAACTTTGTAGAACTTTTAAATGCAAAAATTACACTAAAGAGGCGCTTGCTAATTTTTCCTACACCTGCAAAACTGACAAATAATTTTACATTACAAAATTATGCTGTTATTATCTTGCATAATAAAATTCAATGTTCAAGCTGTCTAAGGCTGAAAAGTTGAAATACAAAAAAAACATAGATTAGGAATATCATTGTACAAGTATTAATGATAATACTTAAAATCAAAAATGTGATTATCATTTCTACAACTAGTTACTTGTTTCCTGTCTAATAAATCAACATTTTCTGTAATAGCCAGTCTTCAACAACTTTTCTCCACCCTTGTATTTTCTACACAATTCATCATTTAAAGATTCTTCTGGCTACAGCGTTTGTGTAACAACAATCTGATTTTACAAAAAGAATGTGCAAAGAGAATTTTCTGACCTGTATGACGGTCTCCAGCAGGTCCAGCACCACAAGGTTTGTCTCTGTGGCTAAGTTCCCACTGATGAGAGCCTCTTGGTCCAACTCAGATTTAGTTCTTTAGGGAAAATGGAGTTAGGCAGATATTTGGGAAAAAAAGAAATATATATATTTTTAAAAGTACAACATGCAGAAAGCCAGGTAGGTTATTTATTAATGAAGCAAAAGTCGGACAAAAGCAACGTACTTATCCTGTCTGTCGTTTGTTTGTCTCCACTGAGTGCGGTCTTTTCTCCAGCGCAGGTTCTCTCTTTGACCCAAAGATCTATCGGTTCCTATCAAAAATTCATTATTATTTATAAAAGCTCAGATAGTGAAGAAGCCATCCTGCATATTTACTAGGATGTGAATTAGTGATGATGCATGTAACACTATATTGAAACGAGTTTTCAAAAATCTGCATGTTAGGGATTCAAACTCTTTAACAAGACTAGAGAAGATAGAAGGTGGTCGTTCTGTTAAAATAAAAATAACCTAAGAAGGTTATGAAACTCTCAAGGCTTTACTTTTAGAAATGACTCGTGCTCAAAATGTTAATTTTTTTCTTTGTTTGTTTGTTTTTTCTTTTACAAACGTCAGAAAAGCAGTTTGAAATATATATTTTTTAATTTAATTTTAAGTTTTAATAATTTATGATGGTACCCTAACCCTTGCATATCCCTGACTACCCTGAGTTTTAAATAAAAATAATAATCATGTAAAAAAAAAAAAATGATTTGATGTGATAACGTGCACAGGACCTCACACAACCTGTTAGCACTTGGGAGTATGCGTTGAGGATGACTCTCAGCTACTACCACACTAAATCTTAGCTTAACATCTGTAAAAACTGGTTGGCTTATAGATGTTTTTTTTTTTAAGTTAAGCTGTGGCGGCCATCTTGGATCAAGTTGACTTCAAACGTTTATCAGTTGTATATGTCAATTATTGTTTTTAGAGTTTCATTAAAATGTGTCCAGTAGTTCATGAGATTTTTTTTTTTTTTTTACCAACACAACAAGCATAGACACACATTCAGGTATGACAATGTTGCCTGCCTTTCAAGGGTGGCCAATAAGACAAAAAAAAAAAAAAAAAGTATTTTTACCTCCAACTCGTTTCATCATTTCTCCGCGGGCTCCCATCCCTCTCAGCAGGGCTTCTTCCAGCTGCAGTTTGACCTGATGAGATTTCTGTAAAGCCTGAGTGCTCACTTTGTCACTGCTCTGCTTACCCTGCAAAAATCACAAACACACACACAACCACCAAGGCTCAACAGAGTGCACGCATTTTTTCACTTTCAGCAGAAATAAACAGGAAAGAGCAGATAATGACATCCGAGTCTTCAACCGGTGCTTAGTGCACTCTTAGTTTAGTGTATTTCTTAGTTCATATCTTAGATCTTACTACCGTTTTTCCTTTACAATTTATACTTTTGTTGGATGTAACTGGGACCCAGTGTACACAGTTTTGTCCACCACATGTGACACACGCGATATGGATGACAATAAAGAACCTTGACCTTGATTTGTGAACATAAAATTGAATTAAATACAAATTAAACTAATGCGAATGCACAAAACGGACCCTGTACTCGAAGCAGGAAATGCAGATGGTGAGGAGCTCCAGCAGTTTGTTGAGTTGTGATGGAGGCATAGCCACTGTCCAGCGCTGGATCAGGCTCCGGTCGGCATTCTTCATCACCCACAGGAAACACACCAACAGGTGGCGACTTGTGTCTGCTGCCAGGGTGGCTACAGACTTCACCTGCTGGGATGAACAGAAGACATAACAAAAATGTTAGTATGTTGAATTAGATCAGCAAATTAAAAGCCTATATTCCTTTTTTGTTGGGGGGGGGGGGGGGTGGCATTTTGCATGTGGCTCTTGAGGATAAGATCATTTTAAGTTGAGGAATTTGGTTTGAATAAATTATCCTTGAATATAAATTTATAAGTAATCTTAAATGAAATGTGATATGTTGCAAACAGGGTTAACTCCAACAGTTAATGTCAAGGTTTTAGTTTAATGAGTTACACTTGAATTGTGTGTTGGGGATGCTCCAAACTTTAGCTCAATATCATTTTTATGTTTTTCAGTCATTTGGCGGTCGCAGACATCTTGAATTGGGTTGACTTCAAAGGCTATCCAGTTGTAAATGTATACAGTTTAATTACTGATAGTTTCATAAAAATCCACCCAGTGGCTCATGACATATTTTGCCAACAGACAAACGGAACTGATTCCAATCATTAAAGGCAACATTTTACATACAAATCTCATGTGATTGCTTCACACTCACAATATGTGCTGTGGAACAGTTTCAGCTACTGCCACACCAAGTTTTAACTCAATATCTGTCAAATTAACTATAGTCATTTATGTGTTGGCCAAGTTCGCTTTGCTTTGGCAGCCATCTTGAATTAGGTGGAATTTGAAAGGTAAACTGTCGTAGATGTTCATCCTATCTTAAGAGTCTAGAAGTTTTATTAAAATTTGTGCAAAGGTTCATGAGATATTTTGCAAGCAGACAAATATGAATATACCGTATTTTCCACCGTACACGTTGCACCGCCCTATAAGTCGCATCAGTCCAGAAATGTCTAATCAAGTGGAAAAATCCATAAGTACGTTGCTTCGCCGCATACGTCGCATCTATTATGCGTCACTACTGACGCGTCACGTTTATTACATGTCACCGCTGACAACCTGAAAATGTGGGCTGGTGTTGTGCCAAAAATCGATTGGCTACCAAATGGCAGCCGTGGGAGTGTGCACGGGAGGACTTTAACAAGAATTTAACAAGATTAACACTTAAATTAATTATTTGTTTGCTCGAAATTATAGTAAGGTGTGTCTCAGTTGAACTTTTACTTAATAAATGCACTTAAATGGTCAAATTAGCTGCATTTCACCGGGGCGGCGCAGCAAAATGAAGCTGATTTGACGTTTGCTCCAGGCGAGCTGGACGAAGGTGGAAGTCCATGGCAAGCCGATTGTGTCATTAATAACCACTTTTTACCAATTACATGAGACAACAACATACCAAACTAGTCGAGTGCCATCTAGCGGCTGAAAATGGCAGTGTTCAATATTTTCAGTCAGAATTAATGCAAACGATCATATCTCTGCCAAAAATTGGTTTATAAATATAAGAAAAAAACATAAATATGTCGCTTTGGCGTATAAGTCGCAGGGCATGTAAATTGTGCAACAAAAAAAAACGTGACTTATACAGCAAAAAATACAGTAATACAAATATGAATCGGCAGCACGATGGCTTAGTAGTTAGCACTGTTCCTAACAGCAAGAAAATCCTGGGTTCAATTCCTGGTTGGACCTGGGGTTTTTCTGTGTGGAGTTTGCATGTTCTTCTTGCGTGGGTTTTCTCCGGGTACTCCAGTTTCCTCCCACAGACCAAAAACATGCATGTTAAGCTGCCTTCAGGCCCAGGCCTCCCTTGCAAAAAAGATCTGTGATCTCAATGGGATTTTCATGGTTAAATAAAGGTTAATAATAATACACACGCCTGCACAGGCACAGGCAAAAAACATTATCGTTCCACCTTCACCTTTGACGACGGGTGATAATCAAAACACAAAGATTTCATTAAGTGCACGGGGCAATTTTCTCTCAGTGTAGATGTCTAACGCATCCCATTTGGTAACTAACCCTTACCAAACCTCATCTATAACACTGTCACTATGCTTGAGTTGAAAGGAGTGCATCAGTGAGTGGATCTAATAGTATATCATTCACAAGCTTTTTCAAATCACTAAGTGATGATTGGCCGCTTCTCTCATACAAGCTCTAAGTGGAGTGTGGCGCTCTTCCACGTCTCAGCGGGCGTTTAATCTACTGCAGATTAATTTACCTTCATTCGCGTGATGATGAATCACTGCTGCAGACAGCTACCGCTGCTTCATTGTGTGGCACTTTTGATAAATGTAGCCATTAAACTCCAAATGCTCAAAGTCTCCCACCAAAAACCTGGCTTCCAGGACCCAACGTCAAAAAAAAGTTGTTCAGTGTGAACTAAAACGTCACTTGTTTATTTGAAAACAAGCATCAAGTAAAAAAGAAGGACTCCTCCCGTAAAGAGTACATTTGGTTTGAAGGCGAACTGCCTGCAAATTAAGAAAAAGTGTTCTGGTTTGGGTTTCTGAGAAACCCCAGACCGATGGCTCTTTCACACAGAAAGCACTTTTTCCACAACAGTACTTCTTACATCAACATACAAGAAAGTGATTCCTGTCTTTGGAGGGGAATGGAGAAAAGAGGAGGAGAACGGCAGCGAGCAGTTTTGGTTCCTTGTGCTGAAGCTGTAGCACAACTTGATGGATGTGTTTGTCAGAGAGGACGGCCCTGTTCACTTATGATGGCGATGCCTGCCCATAAACCATCTCCCACAGATATGTGTGAGTGAGGGTTTTTTTTTTTTCAGGATAGATGAAGTGCATGTGTGGCTTTGACAGCTAATCATTCAGCATCTGTGCAGCTCACCTGTTGGGAAGCAAAACACTAGCAGATACAATCTCAAACACAAGCACTCAATGCACTTCTGAACTTTTAAAACCCTACAGGATCTTCCTATTATCTTTGGATTTTGGAAAAATGAAATAAAGTCAAGAGGCTATACTTTACCAAAGATGCCATGGAGACGAGGACGTTCCGACCTAGCGTGTTAAAGGGGTTCCCAGCGATTGCCATGGCAACAGACTGATTAATGGGTGGGACGTTTTCAAGGTCATCCTCGAGTTCGCCCGTCTTGTTTTTCCCGCCGCGCGAGTCACAAACTGGGGAGACAAGGAGGTTCACTAACGTGTCGGACTGAAGAAGAGAGGAGTTCTAGACTTGAGTGTGACACGGCTGTCTCTTAATTAGACGCAACACAGACGTAAGAAGTAAGCACTAGCACATTTATGCCAGGGTGGAGTAAGATGGATGGCTGTAGTTATATACAAAAACAGAGCTACATGATGGAGGATAATTACTGATTAGAGGCAACTCATTAACCTTTGTCTTTGTTAAAGCTCATTAGGAGCAAATTCCACAGGATCTATCTCACCACCGCTAGGTTTGGTTTATAGTTTTCAGCTTCAAAAATCTTAAAAAGTTTCCCTTACTTTGCATTTTCAAACATACTGAGTCTACATTACTTTATGGTGTGTTTACTTTAAAAAAGAAATGAAAAATAATTTTGTGCATGCAACTATGCGTGTTTGTTCGTACCTGTGAAGTCCAGGTAGTTGGTGGATTCTATAATGATCCCCACCAGGGGGAGGTACAGGCCGGCCACCTTGGCTCTGACCTCGGGTTTCTCACAGCGCTGATCCAGATCATGAGCACACAGCAGGCTGTAAATTGCATTGATAGCCTTTCTTTGCACTTTCCCCCTGCAGACACATAGGAACATTTCTTCAGTTTGATTGGATCAGAGTATATTCATGTAAGGTTGCATGGTATTTGCTTTTGTCTTTTTTCCTATCAGAATGTAAGTATTTTTTCAAGTCCAACAAAGTTCAGTCAGGTCATCTGGATGGTTTCTTTTTTTTTGTATTTTTGTTGAGACGTTTTGTCCTTAATCCAAAGGACTTCATCAATCCAAGGAGCTGCAACAAACTCAGTCCCACTAGCAGCACACTCACATAGTGGACCAACCAGATTGCTGGTGATAAGACGGTTTCTGGGGCCTGCTCTCTCCCCCATTGACTCCTCTGAGGCAGCTATAGCCTGAGTTTGTTGTGACTTCTCGGACTGATGAAGTCCTTTGGATGAAGGACGAAACATTAAAAAAAAAGAAGCCATTCTGATGACCTGACTGAACTTTGTTGGATTTTGTTTTACCTGGATTATTGAGCATGAACTTTGATGGATTTTTTTTAAGTCTTCATAAAAGTGCACATGCAGGAAGGAAACTTTGTAATAACAAGCTAATGAGAAGGCAGCAGGCGGACAGCACGTGCGCTTCCATACCCTTCTGACTCCATGTCTAGCGCGGTGCTGAGTTCAGTGAGGAGCAGGCCGGCGAGGTAGTGCTGTTGCTTGAATTCCTGAGAAAGATCAAACAGCGCCGAGATCCTCTGCTGCTCCTGGAAGCTAGACGAACCGGAACTCTGTACAGAAAGATGAATTGATGGAGAGACAGAGACTAATTTTTGAAAAGGTAACTTGTGATCTTGTGCAACATTGAGAGATGTTACGCTCAGAGTATGTGTTGTGAATGACTCTCAGCTACGACCAAATTGAGCTCTATATCTATAAACCTGACCGAGTTACAGCTATTTTTGTGTTAGCTACATTTGATTAGCTGTGGCGGCCATCTTGAATTGAGTTAACTCCAATAGTTAATCATTTGTAAATTTACATTCAATAATTACTATCTGAAAGTCACATTAAAATATTTCCAGGAATTCATGGGATATTTTGCTGACAGATAAAAAGGGTGAACTCCAACAGAGTTAATTTTCAAGTCTAAAACAGACTTTGTGCAATGAATAGCAATTGATGGATGTGTTGTGAAAGGTTCTCAACTATAACACTCAATTTTAGCAAAATATCTGTACAACTGACAAAATATAGACATTTTTGTGAGTTTTCAAGTCCTATGGCTGTAGCGGTCATCTTGCTTTGTGTTATTTCTAAAAGGTAATCAATTGCAGTTGTACACAAAATGAATATTACCTGAACGTTTCTTAAACAAAGTAAATTAATTCAGTAGTTCATGAGATATATTGATAACAGACCAATGCAGGAACATAATTGTTCTCCTTTGCCTTTCGGCGGTGGGTGATAAAAATGAAGTAGAGAAAAGTTGGCTGTGCAAAGGGCCCACCTGTGAGGAGATGGATGGACATGGTGAGGCGGGCGCTGAAGCAGGGCTGCTGAAGAAGAGGCACAGGTTGAGGTAGTGCTCATGGCTGCAAAGAATCCGCAGGAACTCCAGACGCATGCTGATCAACATCGGCATGGCAACACTCTTAGCAGACATCTATAAAGTGAAAAAATAAAAAAATTAACAATTAAATTATTGCATATGCTTCAAAACCAATACAGATGCTTGTTAATAATTAGAAAAGCCTATTTTTTAATGCATTGGTTTATTTGTTTTAACACCTAACAGTTGCCATTTGTTTTGTGAGTACTTTTCTACCTGGTTCCAGTAGTTTTTCACCAGTTGGAAGACAAACCCTCGCTCCATGAGAGACAGCAGGTCATACAGGAAGAAGGCCAGGCTGATGTTGATTTTCTCTGCTTGCTCTACCTCCTGAAACGAGCAGTCAACAAACAGCAATCAGCAAGCTGCGCTGACCGGATCTCACCAAGCATCTCGCTGGGCTTCTGTTACCACAGAGGCAAATGTAATTAGCACATCCAGCTCCCCTGCTGTTTGCTGGACGCTGACAACAAGTACGCTCAAGCTGCAACTTCCTCCTGTCCAGCCCAGGAGAGCAGAAGGTGCGTAAATTCTCATCTTTTTTTTTTTTTTTTTTTACCTTGTGCTGTTTGATAAGGATTGTGCAGATCTCAGCCGTAACCACGGAGACGATGGTAGCGATGTCACCTTTGAATCTGTCGGAGAAGCGACTCCTTCGAGGAACGCCGTGCTTGTCGAGCTGGGACTGAGCTATGCTTTTCACCTGTTTACCACATCCCATGAGAAAGAAGGAAAAAAAATCACTTGGTCACAAAACGCAGCAACGACATGAAGCGAACGCACATACTGTCCAACAAGACATTTAATGGAAAGTTGGCTCAAAAATACAAAACTGTTGCTACAGGCAGCTTTTGCAGAGAAGAGTCTTTAAATTTTCCTTCAACCAAGAACAAATACAACTGCATTTACACTAAAGTGTGCATGTTTTTCCTTCAACTAATCATTATAAATGGCAATAAATACTTTTAATTAGACAACAATCAATACAGAAAAGTTATGGAGAGTAAATTTAAGAAAAACACGAACCAACAGCTCAAAGAAGAACCAGGCATATTTATATGCGTTCTCTCTGCAGACACCAGTGCTGACAACCATCTGCAGGGCCAGCTCCTCGTGAAACTGCTGAGAGAGAGAAAGGGACCAAAACTTACCAACTGCATGAATACCATCATTATAAATACAGCACATGGCTCCTTAAATTATCTGGATATCAACAGGATTCATTCTAGACATTCTAGAGATTAGGATAAAAGGCTGACTGACGTCTGACCAGTCCTCAGGGTTAGACTCCCACCTTGTGGCTACTAGAGGAAACAGAAGGCTGAAAAATATTTGTTGAGCTCCAGAACCAACATGTTTGAGGTCTGAGTGCTTTTCACCACCATGCATGAATAAGTTTAGTTCTAGAGTATGTGTACCATATAAACTTAAGTCATGCTATTGTTTGAAATCTACTTTAACTTGACTAAAGAACAGTAAGTTGCTGCTGAACTTTGCATTATTAGGAGCTGCATAAAAAGGTAAACTCAGAATGGTTAGCTCTTAAATCAGAGCATTATTAGTTTAATTTAGTCAATTTGATCAAACAAGTTGTGTAAAAATGTTTTAATTAATTAGTCTGAGTAAGCTTCCTAGTGATAAACAGAAAAATGTGACTGCTGGAACGAAATAAATAACCTAAAGATAAACCACTAAGTAGTTGAAATGGCAGCCAAAATGTATTCCCCTACAAAATATTTTCTGACAAATATAAAACTTGCACACAATGTCAAAATTTGAACAAGAAATTTATTATCGGTGCCATTTCATCATATCAAAACTTATATTAATGTTCAACAATGTTCAGTCAGGTCATCTGGACAATTTCTTTTTGTTGTCGCCGAGATGTTTCATCCTTCATCTGAAGGACTTCTTCAATCTGAAGAAGACTTGACTGAACATTGTTGGATTTGTACCTGGATTAATGAGCATGAACTGTTGGTGTTATATTAATTTTTTTTTTTTTTGTATTTCTTTAATACTAATACCATCCTGGGTTTTCACAAGTTTGGCTTTAAGGTTAATACGTTAAAGTTTCCACAATTCTTCTTGCTGTACTATTCAAACAATTTTTTTAAAATCTAAACAAAGCAATCTGACTTGCAAAAATAAATGTAATCCAGCAAAGAAGAAAAAAAATACATATTGTGGAAATAAATGAAGCATCAAGATTACTTATTCTAAGAACAGAAAGAAATGGTTTTAATTGTTTAAAAAAAAAAAAAAGCTAACTGAAAAAATAGCTAATAGAATGGATTAAAAACAGACCTGAAATTTGCATACAGTTCAGGACAATGGTGTCAAGAGAAGAAATGTACACCCAGATTATTGACAGCAGTTAATGCTGACGGTTCATTCCCTTCCTCTTTTTCACAAAATTTCCACACTCATTTACTTTTGTTCATTAAAAAAAAAAAAAAACGGTCAGTCACTGAAGAGGAAAAAAAAACAAACATTTCATTAAATCCAACAATGTCCATTCAGGTCATCTGGACGGTTTCTTTTGATGCTGAGACGTTTCGTCCTTCATCCAAAGAACATCTTCAATCTGAGGAGCCCACCAAACCAAACTGAATCCCACAAACGGCTCACTCCCACAGTAGAAAAAAAAAACAGTTCGCTGTGATAAGATGGCCTCCAGGGCCCACCCTCTCCTCCGTCAACTCCTCTAAGGCAGCCATGTCAAAATGGTTAAAAACAGCAAAGTTCATGCTCATTAATCCAGGTATAAATCAAAAAATGTTCAGTCAGGTCATCTAGACGGTTTCTTTTGATGCAGAGAGGTTTCATCCTTCATCCAAAGGACTTCTTCAATCTGACAGCCCACCAAAGCAAACTGAATCCCACAAACAGCTCACTCCCATGACCTGAATGAACATTGTTGGATTTATAACTGGATTAATGAGGATGAATTCTGGTATTTCACTAAACGTTTATGCATTGATTAGTCACTTTTTTTTATGTTACTAAAACAAATAAACTATTCTTAAAGTGCAAATCAAAGTGTCAGAAGGACTAGTACCTTTCTGTTGGAGGGCCTGGTGCTTCCTGTCGGGTTCTGATGATTGTTGACGTCCACATACGTGGACATGCGGCTGCCTGGGTTGTTGTGGCCCTGCAGACAGAACGTTCCATCAGACTGAATGTGATGGATGCATTCATTAAGGTGGCCGTCTGCTGGCCTATTACAATACCTAATGTACTGTGGGGATAAATAGCAAATGGAGTATAAAACTGGCACCCTAGGGTATTTGCATACTGTCCTGTTTGCTTTTGTTCCTATAGTTTTTTTAAATACACAGTAATTTTAAGCAGCAGTCATGTGAGCTATGGATTATCAATGAAAGTTTGGATAACTCTAGAAAAGGATTCAGATTTAGTTAGGTCAAACTCACGAGTACCTTGGCAGAAAGAATATTTTTGACCTCGGCATCTTCAGCAGACATTTGCTGAGCAGGGATATCGGGGTTGCTGCTGCTGCGCACTCTGGACTGGAGAAGCATGCTGCCAACCACGGTTGCTGTGGCCCGACCCATGGTGCTGTACCGACTCTCTGATGAGGGCACTGAGCTCATTGGACCTGGAGGTGCATTCAGAGGAGACAAAAATGTAATTACGACCGCAGACATGTCACTCAAACTGATGAACGACCAGCACCTGCACTGTCTCCAGGAGGATCAGGGAGACGAAACACCCAGTACAGGTAAGACGCCAAGAGGCTGTTCCTGCCCAGCTGATCTCTGACCAGCTCCTGGCTGTTGTGAAGGCTGTTAACAATAGACACCACTGATTCAAAGGCTATCTGGGCCAGGTTGGCTAAAGAAAAGAAAGTACAAACAGGCAGACAAGTTAAAACTCTGACTTTAGGAAAAGCTAAAAATTGCAACGAGCAAATTCAAACTCTTCACCTGTCTGGCCAGCAATAAGCATAGGCTGCATGATAAGGGTTAGGAGTTTATCCAGCACCAGGTGGAGGAAGAGGACCAGAGGCTCTAAACGAGAGGAGGACAGAGATATGATGCTGAGCTTCAGCTCGTGTTCCAGCTTGCTCTCAGGAATCTTCTCGTCCCTGACCCGCAGAGGGAACGTGACTCCACCATCCAGTGCATGGCACAGGGTGAAGAAACGCTCCAGGTGGTTGTCCTGGTACAGGAGAGAGGGATGAGTCGTTACAGAGTAGCACTTCCAAAGGAATCAGACAGAAAACAAGCATCGGGGAGGAAACAAAAAATGCTAATTGATGTAGCGCCTCAGCGTGAAGCTAGAGAAAAGACAACACGGAAAAACACTGATGTGTACAGGTTTGCTTTTAATCGAGAAAAAAAAGAGGAAACTAGAGAAATTACATTTTCTCTAAAAATACTGAGGGTTAAATTACGACGGAGCTTTAGGGCCACGCTAAGAAAAAATTAAATAAAAGCCATAATATTATGAGAATAAAGTCATACGAGACTTTTTTTTTTACAGCTCGTTTATCTTTTTTTTTTTCACGAGTCGGATCCACAAAGTGACCTGTCAATCAATCCAGTAGGCGTGTCAGCAAATGACCAATCCGAAGCTAAATGCTCCTTACCTGCAGAGCTGCGCTGCAGCCCATCAGAGCGTACCACCTTACTGTAAGCAGGTTCAAAGTCCTGATGCTGATATGCTGACAGATTCACTATCTCCTTATTTGTAAAACCAGTACCAAAGTATAACTTAACAAGATGCTCAACATTCTTCATTTTACCACAGTTAAAATGCGGTAAACCTGCTTTATCGTGTCAGAGTTCAGATAATATTACAACTCATTTAACTTCGGATTGGTCGTTTGCCGACATGCCTACTGGATTGATTGACAGGTTGCATCCTGGATCCGACTCGTGGGAAAAAAAGAAACAAACAAAAAAACACAAGAGCTGCAAAAAGACTCGTAAGACTTTATTCTCGTAATTTTATGGCTATTAATTTTCTTTCTTACCGTGGCCCTAAAGCTCCATCGTATTAAATGAATGCTAAAATTTGCAGAAGAAAATGAAACAGAGTTGTTAAAGGAAAAAAAACAGAACACTACCCAAAAGCCAAAAAGGAGCTAAATGCTAGCTAAAAGCAAAACGCTGCATTTTGAAGTTTCTTCCTCATGAGGGAGTTTTTCCTTTCCACTGTTACCTTCGTGCTTGCTTAAGATGAGTTCTGCGATGGAGTTAAATTTCAAAGCAGTCTGCTCCTCAGATAAATGGTGTTAAATTATTAGTTTTTATACATATGAATGTTTCTGTTCAGTGCCCTGAGATGACTTCTGTTGTGACTTGGTGCTTTATAAATAAACTGAAATGAATAGAGTGAATTAAAAGCATCACAAGGTTAACCAAAATTTAAAAGTAGCCAACCTCTAGCTAAAAGCTAACATAGCAAAAAGCTACAAGTAACAAAGGCTAATAAAGATAATAATAATAATAATAATAATAATAATAATAATAATAATAATAAT